ATATATATATATATATAAACATATAAACCTTTATTTGACAATTTTTTCTCTTTTTCTTCTTTTTTTTTTTCCTTATATGCTTTTTGATTATTTCTTAAGTGTTATATGCTCCTAGGCATTTTAACCTTTTTACAACATACTTTTTTTATATATATATAAACATATAAACCTTTATTTGACAATTTTTTCTCTTTTTCTTCTTTTTTTTTTTCCTTATATGCTTTTTGATTATTTCTTAAGTGTTATATGCTCCTAGGCATTTTAACCTTTTTACAACATACTTTTTTTTAAATACTTTTTCACTTAATTTTGTTTGTGTTAAAAAATTTATTTATTTATTATTTTTCCCAAAAGCTCTTCAAAACACTTTTTTCCCACTTTTAATCTCTAATCTCTACCACACAAAAGAGACAGTCAAAGTTTTTCCTTCTTGCACCAAAGAGGCCAACATATGGCCTCGCCTCTTTTTTTCTTTTTCTTTTTATAAACTTATATTCATTTTCTTTTTTCTTTTTTTTTTTTTTTTGCTTTTTATTTTTTTTCCTATTAGCTTTTTGGTTTTTTCTCAAGTGTTCTACACTCCTAGACATTTAACTTTTTTACAAATGTAGCCAAAACGCTTTTTTATAGGACTGTTATATAGTAGCTCCTCATCTTATCTCTTTTTTTTTTTTCTTTTTTTTAATGTTTTTTATTCCTTTTTTTTTTTTTTTTTTTTTTGGTTTTTTTTTTTTTTTTTTTTTTTTTTTACATTTTAATTTTTTTTTGTGTTCAATCACCTCTCTGAACCTCAGGCATCAATCTATGTAAATTAGTTTATTAACTATTGTTGCAGAAAAAAATATAAAATAAATAAAACAAAATAAAAAAACAAAACAAAAACAAAAACAAAATCAAAGCTCCGATTTTCCATTCCAACTACCAAGCTCCGATAGAAGCAAGAGACGAAAATAGTAGTGAAGCTGGTATGAAGAGGATAGTAGCATAGCTAGTTGGATTTTCTGGTGATGCGACAAATATTCAAATTCTAAAAGTCTGAGATTGTCACTCTAAATTCTTAGATCATGCATATAATGTGAAGAATATGTAAAATATATGATCTAAAGATTATAGTCTAAATATTAAGATCCGAAATCAATGGAACAAAGTTAGACGCTTTATTCATGTTAAGATTGTTATGAGTGCGTTTGGAATTAGTTCCAAAACGTTTTTATTTTTTGTATGAAAATGAAAACGAAAACGTTTTTATTTTCATTTTGGAATCATTTCTAAAAATGCATTTGATAATTTTATTCCGATATTATTTTCAATTTTAAAAAAATTAAAATTGTGTTTGGTAGTTTAATTTTTAAAAACATGTAATAATTATTAAACTAATAATATATTAAATAAATATATTAAATAAACATATCAACCCATTTCCTTACCTCATCAATCAACCCAAAAACGGGGCCTACAACAAGAAAAAATGAAAACCCATTTCTAGATGAGGAGGGGGTGGTTAGGGGCAGTGAGGTCAAGGCAGGAGAAGAGGGGGAAAATGCGGAGACGAGTGGGGGGGCAGAGGAATTTGAGTTGACTTTTTGATTGAGATTCGATTACAGCTTAGAATTGGAAGAAGAAGAAGAGCAAGTTGCGACTTGGGGCTTATATTACGATTACAGCTTGGGTGTGGAGGTGGGGGGTGTAGTCGGAGAAGAATGGTCCATCGGGGAAAGAAAATGAAAATGGAAAACTGAAAACGATATTCAATCGTTTTCAGTTTTGCTAAGTTTTTAAGAATAAAGTAAAAAACGTTTTCATTTTCTGTTTTTCAAGAAATGCTGCCAAACGGCTCCCTCAGAGCATTTTCATTTTTTGGTTCTTGGAAAACGCGAAAAACGAAAACAAAAACGGAACCAAACAGGCCCTATGTTTTTTACTTCTTAATGGAGACGGCTTATCTTGACTGTCGGATGTGGGACTGTTTCCCTGCAAAATCCCAATCCCGATCGAGGTTGGACCAATTGGCCCCCCAACCAGCTAAACGTAAGGTGTGCTTCCCATAAATTTGATATCATTTAACTGCTTGGTCTCTTGTTCTGGCATCAAGAGCATGTTCACTTTGGCCACTTGGCAACGCATCTTTTACCTCTTCACTAGTCTTGTTAGTAGCAACCTTTTCTACATCAGGTAGACTCCTTAAAACCTGTTTAACCCCAAAACAACATCATTGATAGTAATAGGAGTAGCAGCCCTCACATCATTGAAAGGAATTGAGAGCACTAACTACCTCATATAGATACCGCGAGACAAAAGCATCGGTGGCAGCATACTGTAGCTGGTCCTTGGTTAAAACATCGGCTTCCCAATTTCCAAGTTGAATTCTTTTGGGCTTAGGAAGCTGTATCATTTTGAAAATCTCAGTAAAAATTCCTACAGAAGAAATCTTTTACTAGGATAACTCAAACGGTATTTTTTTTTTTTTAAATAATAAAGCTACTCTGTGACTAAAAGGAAAGAAAAAAGAGAAAAAAATGGACCCAGAGTAACACTTAAAAGGAGAAAGTGAGAGTGTAAATACTATAAACTACATTCAACAAAGTAATGTAATGCCTACTGGATACTATATATTCAGCTCTGCCTCAACTTCCATAGCAAGAACATAAGTATAGAACCTATTGCCAGTTCAAATGCATGATGAGGAATTAATTACATCAAAGTGAGTTAAGATGAAACCTATTGAAGGAATCGGAGCAGGAGCCTCTGAGAAAATTTGTTATGACGGGCGTGGGTTCAAGCTAAGAGGTAGTATCATTATGAGCACTATTAACCAACCCCATTGGCGTGGTTGTTTTAATGAGTTTCCAAAAAGTAGAAACTAGCGGACTACAAAATTGCAAAGAACATTATTGTAAGAAAAAAAAATACCAAAAACAAAATAATACCTGTTTGGAGATAAGGTTCTCAGTAAGAGAGGCAAGACTCCAGTACTTTTGAGAGTCTCCACCAAGCTTCTGATTAGCCAGGTAGGAAAGATCCTCCACTGCTTTCACAGATACATTATAATCTTTGAAAACCTTAACAGCATCGTTGCAAATGCCGATTCCAACCTGGACATGTATAAATTGCTATGTTACACTACTAATGTATACTTATAAAAACAATCTCATAACTATGAGGCAAAGGCCGTGACTTTTGTAACGTAGATTACTTACCTTCAAAAGCATAGAATTCTCAAGAAGTAACTGCAGACTTTTGGGTATTCCAGAATGAATAATGTGCATTACATGACAATGGCCAGTGTCTACACAGATCTGCATAACCGCAGCCTTCCCAGGTGAAGCACCTGCAATTTTCAGACAGATTTCCAAGATAATCTGTTATCACAAGCTAATAGATGTATAACAAATATAACTGAAAATCTAACTTGCTCGAGTGGTACAGTATGCCTTTAATAGTATGCTACAAGAAAGTAGAAGAGACTCAACAAACCTTTTCTAAATGAGGCTCTCCACTCGATATCAAACCCAATTGCAGCTTGACTCCCTTCGCTTTTCTTTGCTTCAATAGTCTTCAGAAGCTGCATGGCAGCTCTCTCCACCTCAACTGCTGTCCTGCTATACGTAATCCGACCTCTGAACGTCATCTCAGGATATCTCATCTTTGATTTTGCTGCTTCAGGGAAAAAAAAAAGATTGATATAATATGAACTCTTTCTAAAACAATCTTAAGATGGTGCTCAAAACTATTTAAATAAAAAAAAAGAGCTAAAATCAAGTACATTACCGAATCGCCATAATTCTGAAATTTTCCTAGAAGTGGTGAACAAAGCCACAATTCCCCTATTCACCCTTGATTTCTGATGTTTCATACAAGACAATGGGAAAGGGAAAGCCAGGAATGCTGCCCTTTCCTATCTATCTGCTTTGAGAAAAGAGAGTGTGAATCTTAGTTCCCCTTGGTATCTTTTTGCAGTTAATCAGTATTGACACTGAATTTACTTATATTCACTTACTAAGCTGATGATCATTTAATTATGCACTAGAATTTTAGTTATAAAATGGATAAAGATTCTAAAGATAAATGAAGAGAGAAATATTTTTTATTCTCATTCTTCTCTGAATGCATCGTCCAAATATATAGTAGAGAAAACCACATAATTAGGTTCATCAACTCCTTAAAACTAGGACACAAAATCAGGAAATAGTCTAATCCTACCTACTGAGATTCACATATAGGTTGTCCTTATCTCTTTATTTTTGGAAATAAAATAATAACAGATACAATCACAATAAAAGGAAAATTATATCCGAGATTTCCTAGGACTTGAACTTCTGGAATTCCACACTCCCTCAAGCAGGAGAGTATATGTCGATCATTCCCAGCTTGGACATGAGAGTTTCAAATTGAGTTCTAGGCAGAGCTTTTGTGAGAATATCTGCAGTTTGTAGGCTCATACGAATGTAGACCATCTTGATAATCCCTTCTTCAATCTTTTCCTTGATAAAGTGTCGATCAATCGCAACATGTTTGGTTCTATCATGATGAACCGGGTTCTTTGCAATGCTGATGGCAGCTTGGTTATCACATAGCATTTTTATTGTGCTCTCGGTCGGAATCCCAAGTTCTTCTAGGAGTTTTTTGAGCCACATACCTTTGCATATTCCATGTGCAATAACTCTAAATTCAGCTTCGGCACTACTTCGAGCAACCACAGATTGCTTCTTGCTTCTCCAAGTGACCAAGTGGAACAATAGCCTGAAGTGGATCTTTGATCTGTTATGGATCCTGCCCAATCAGCATCAGAAAAAATCTCTACGCTCCGACTTGTCCCTTTATTGTGATCCTGTTGGCCGTTCATGCTGTGATTGCAAATCCAATCACCATCACCAGCTCCGAACAGGTCTACTCTTTGTCTTGAGTTCTGCAGCTGGTGTTTGATCTTGTGCCGTCAGTTTCTATCAAAGATGCTTCGATCAGCTGCTGCATTGTCATTTTGTTTGGTGGCTCAAATAAGTATCACTCATTCCTCCTTAAATGTTACCCGCCTACCCACTCATTCATGGATTATTGACTTCGGGGCACAGATCACGTGACGAGCCACTCTAATTACTTTATCTCGTACACTCCTTGTTCGGGTAGACAAAAAGTAAAAATAGCATATGGCTCATTATCATCGGTTGCAGGAAAAGTGTGTATTCCTATCTCAAAAAATCTCTCTAGACTTTGTCTTACATGTTCCTAATCTTTCTTGTAATCTCCTTTCACTCCACAAAATTACCAAGGACCTCAATTGTGTTGCCTTGTTTTTTCCAGATCATTGTGAATTTCAGGACTCACGCTCAAGAAAGGTAATTGACATTGGAAAGGAGTTTGAAGGGCTTTACTACTTCGAGAGTGAATCTATTGGTTTAGGTAATCTGTCACATACACACTTAAGCTCTTCCATTAATTCCAATCAAGAAATTGAACTTTGGCACAAAAGGTTAGATCATCCAAATTTTCCATACTTGAAAAGAGTGTTTCCTGCCTTGTTCAAAAATAAAAATGTTCATAGTTTCCAATGCGAGGTTTGCCAATTATCCAAACACCATCGAGCCCATTTTCCTGTACAACTGCACAAAGAGTTGCAATCTTTTTCTCTCATCCATAGTGACATCTGGGGACCATCACATGTCGATAACGTATCAGGGGCTAGGTGGTTCATCACCTTCATTGATGATCATACTCGTGTAAGTTGGGTCTATTTACTCAAACATAAATCTGAAGCAGCAAACATTGTTCAAAATTTCCATCAACTAATTAAGACCCAATTTCAAACCAATCTTCAAATTCTTCGAATAGATAATGGGAGAGAATTTTTTGCCTCAATCCTTGGGTCTTACTTGACAGATAATGGAATTGTACATCATAGTTCTTGTGTTGATATTCCCCAACAAAATGGGGTTGCCAAGAGAAGAAATAGGCATCTTCTTGAGGTCGCTAGAACCTTATTGTTTACCATGGGGGTACCTAAGAGTTTTTCGGGTGAAGCCGTTCTTACTGCAACCTATCTTATCAACAGAATGCCATCAAAAGTGCTGAAGTTCAAAACACCAGTTGACACTCTCAAAGATAAATACCCATTATCCAAACTTTTTAGTTCTCCACCACCCAAAGTTTTCGGTTGTGTTGCATTTGTTCACATACATGATCATAACAGAGGAAAATTAGATGTACGGGCCCTTCAAGAGAAGAAATAGGCATCTTCTTGAGGTTGCTAGAACCTTATTGTTTACCATGGGGGTACCTATGAGTTTTTTGGGTGAAGCCGTTCTTACTGCAACCTATCTTACCAACAGAATGCCATCAAAAGTGCTGAGGTTCAAAACACCAGTTGACACTCTCCAAGATAAATACCCATTATCCAAACTTTTTAGTTCTCCACCACCTAAAGTTTTCGGTTGTGTTGCATTTGTTCACATACATGATCATAACAGAGGAAAATTAGATGTACGGACCCTTCGTTGTGTTTTCTTGGGTTATTCTCCAACTCAAAATGGGTATGAAAATTCTGTCTATGTGGATGTCACCTTTACACTTCTTTCTTCGCCCAAACTTCCCTTCAGGGGGAGAGACAACATGATGAAGATATGTTTTGGTCTCCCATTATCAACTCATTGCCATTGCCCACTACCATTCATGAGTCATCTGTTGTCCCTGAATCGTCTCTGTTTGTGGAAACTTCCTTGTCTTCTCTTGAAAATTCTCAGCCTACGCCTCCTTCAATTCCCTCTCATATACCTCATGAGTCTATTACCTCCGAGGTTCCACAACCTTCATCTTCGATCTCAACTCCACTTGAGTATATAAGAGATAGAGACAAGGAACCAATAGTTTATTCAAGAAGGAACAAGACACAACCTCCTCAACAACACTGTGGGAAATCAGAGAATAATTCTTCTTATGCACTTGTACAAAGGCACGGTTACATATATATATACACTTAGGGTATCAATACATTTTAGGAGGTTGACTATTCTATAATCAGGAAACTAACACATAAGGAAACTAACAGAAAAATTACAGCATACTTTCCTATATTAGGAAAATTGGTATCTGCCTATTATTGATACAAATATTCTCATTCTATCTATGGGATATGAAATCTCAGATTTCCAACACCCCCTCAAGCTAGGAATATATATTTTCCATTCCTAGCTTGCATATGATTCTTTGAAACGTTGAGCTCGCCACCCCCTTAGTTAGAACATCTGCTAGCTGACCACAAGTAGAGACATAAGGGGTACAAATCAACCCACTTTCAAGTTTTTCTTTTATGAAATGTCTGTCGACCTCCACATGTTTAGTCCTGTCATGTTGGACAGGATTGTGAGCAATATTGATCGCAGACTTATTGTCACAGTAAAGCTTCATCGGTGTCTGCCACTTTCTCGTCAAATCATCTAGTATAATCTTTAGCCATAACAGCTCGCAAATCCCCTGTGCCATAGACCGAAACTTTGCCTCTGCACTGGACCTGGCAACCACCGGTTGTTTCTTGCTCCTCCAGGTCACTAAGTTTCCACCAAGAAAAGTACAATACCCATATGTTGACCTTCTATCAGTGACTGAACCGGCATAATCTGCATCTGTGTATGCTTCAAGTTCCATCCTTGTG